TTGGGTGACAAAGGCCCAGTGACCCCAGGCCCATGTCCTGCCAGCTGGTGCTAGCAGTGCAGTGGGGCTGTGGTAGGCTCCTTGCCTGCCTTCACTCTGTCACTCCTGGAAGCGGATGTCCTGTTCCTGTAGCCCACGAGGGTATCTCTGTGCACTATCCTTACCCCTCACGCTGACTCGGCAGCTCCCGTTGACTGGGAACGGCAGTGGTGCACAGAGACTCCATGACACCCTGTAAGCTAGTCAGCCTGGGAGGGGCGCCTCCCCTTCGGGGTCAGTGGGTAGCCATTCCAACCCACTACACCCGGATCAGTCTCTTGGGGGAATTAACACATCAAATAACCAGACCGGGGTCCCCTGCTCTTACTTCAGGGCAGGGTGACAAAAATAACCAATAACAAAGGCAGCCTGGGTTTGGGCAGGCCAACAGATGATAGGCAGAGGCCCGGCCTTAGTTCAGGGTGAGCCGCCAAGTCCGTGGTGAGGAAGGCTCAACCCTAGTTGAGGGCGGGGCCGCCAGTAAACAGTTTGTAGCCCAGCCTTTGGTCAGGGCAGGGCGGCAGGCATAACCGTTTATATGCCCAACAGTTTAATCAAGGCCCAGCCCTGGTTTAGGGTGGGACCGCAGGAAACCAGTTTGTAAAGGATCTACAGAAGTGAGGTCTCCTTTCTCAGGAGGGTTGCAGGCAGCTCGCCGGCAATAGCGGAGGGGGTAGGCTACCACCCAAGCGGTGGGTGGCAGGGGAAGCACAGGCCTGCCCACTCCGCTATGCCGCGGCCTACGTCCCTAGAGGCAGCAGTTTACTGTTGCTGGATCAGCAGGGGCTCCAGCCCAAAACACGCTGATCCGGGCATGTCTATATCCATGCTGACCCCTGGGCCACTTCCCTCCTCCCTCTCAGCGCATACCTGACAGTCATGTAGGTCTCCTGCAGAGTCACAGGGATCCAGGTCCATTGGCCACTCCTCAGCGGCTTTCAGGGTGTTTGGGAAGTCCTGGGAAGTCGGTTGTTCCTCCGGGCGGCTGTGCAGCAGCAGGCCCAGTGGCCCACGCCAGCTCTCCACCTCACCACTTCCTTAAGGTGTAGGGGAATCCTCTGGCCTCTTCAGTGGTCAGCGCCTCACTGGCCTGGCTGGCAGGCTTTTTACCTTTCTGGCCCTGCTCCTTGGCTTCCAGCCAGGTGGCTCATTAGGGCCAGGTGTAGCCCACCACGGCTCTGGGAGGGGCGCCTCCCCTTTGGGATCAGTGGGTGGCCACTCCAATCCACTACACACCCCCACCCCATTCAGGAGCAGCTTCCAAAGGGGTATACCAGTCCCTTACAGGAGCCACCTGAAGTAAGCACTGCACTCCAACCCACATCCCTTTCTGCACACTACCCCTATCCCATGCTGCAGCCTAAAGCCCATGCCCCAACCACCTCCCAAGGCCTGCACCTCTCTAACACCCAAACTCCCTGCCAGAGCCTGCACTCCAATCCCTTGCTCTAGGGCAGTAGTCTCCAAACTTTTTTGATCGTGCACCCCAATCAGTAAAAATTTTTTGAGCACTTACCCCCAATATATGTATATGTATTTATTTATAAATTATATACATGTACTACTTTATAAAATGTACACAAAAAATAGAAATTAAAAAAGCATGAGATAAAGATGAAATACACTGTTTTTTAAATATATTTTATTTATTATCGGTACAGAAAACCTTTTTGCTCTCACTAAAAAAATTATCATTGTTAATAATAATTTTTACTGAGAGCAATGTGATTGAATATGCTTCATTTTTTTGAAAATCTTGGTTTTACACGTTGTGATACAGCGATTTGAAGGTCTGGTTCTAAGTTCAGTTTATTTCTATACTTAGTTTTAATGGCTGTCATAGATCCAAATGGAAGAAGTGCATTGTTGGCTGCGCTTACTAAATCAGGATACTCATTTTTCAATCCCATCCACCAATTATGCAAAGGTTTTTGTTGAAATTCGGCTAGTAAATTTCCATCTTCCCTGATGTCAATCAGTTGTACTTGCAAACTAATCGGAAGGTGTTACATTTTTATATTTTTAACAAATGGGTTCAAAATCCACTGAAACCCTTCATTTGGAAGATTTTTAAACAGGTTAGAAAATTCTGTTTCCAAGTTTAAGTGTGCAGATACAAGAGTTTTTGTAGGTGATACACTTACATAGTTTTCGGCAACAAAATCACATAAGGATGGAAACCTTTCCAAACATCTGTTTTCAAAATGTTTTCTCCATAGTACGAGTTTCTTTTGAAAAGCAGTTACTTTCTCACTCATTGTTAAAATGTCACCTTTACCTTGAAGGGACAGATTAAGTGTGTTTATTATTGCAAAAATATCTGCTGATAGCCACTTGTCATCACAGAAAAGGTCAGCAAATTTGGAACACTTGTCTTTTTGTAAAAGAAAAATGCGTAACTCATCTTTAAGTTTGACACCTCTTTTAAGCACTTTGCCACGAGATAACCAGCAAACCTCTGTGTGGTACAGAAGATTTTCATGGTCACTCCCCATCTCATTACAAAGTATTGTAAAGATTCTACTATTTAAAGGTCTTGTTTTTATAAAATTAACCACATCGATGACATCTTGTAGCACTTTGTGCACTTCTGGCTCCATCTTCTTTGCTGCAATAGCTTGCCTATGAATGATGCAGTGAATGAATTTCATGTGTGGTGCTATCTCTGTAAACTTACCCCAGAATAGTTTTTTAACTCCAGTCTAAGCAGCCGCTCCATCAGTGGTTACACTTACACAGTTTTTCCATAAAATATTGTTTTTAGTAAAGAAGTCATTTACTGTTGAGAATATATTTTCTCCGGTACATCTATGAAGCCAGGCTTCATGAACTGGGCTTGTTTAGTTTGGAAAAAAGAAGATTAAGGGGGGACATGATAGCGGTTTTCAAATATCTAAAAGGGTGTCACAAGGAGGAAGGAGAAAATTTGTTCCTCTTGGTTTCTGAGGACAGGACAAGGAGTAATGGGCTTAAAGTGCAGCAGGGGAGGTTTAGATTGGACATTAGGAAAAAATTCCTAACTGTCAGGGTGGTCAAATATTGGAATAAATTGCCAAGGGAGGTGGTGGAATCTCCCTCTCTGGAGATATTTAAGAACAGGTTAGATAGACATCTGTCAGGGATGGTGTAGACGGAGCTTGGTCCTGCCTTGAGGGCGGGGGGCTGGACTCGATGACCTCTTGAGGTCCCTTCCAGTCCTATTATTCTATGATTCTATGCTCTTTCCTTTAGTGGCGCACAAAAAAGTAGTTTTCCTGTATTTCATCATTGTAACAGAATCTACCATAAGCTGAGACATGTTAGAAACATCTTTACTTTAATTCAAATGTATAGCAAACCTCCCACACTGTGTAATTTGTTCTAATACTTGTTTCTTCAAATCTTCAGCAATGTTTTCTATGCGTCTTCCAACAGTATTTGCTGATAAAGGAATGCATTTTAGTTTGTGTCCATATTGTTTTCCGTGTATTATTTCAACCATTTTTACCGCAGCGGGAAGAACAAGTGTTTCCCCAATGGTATGCGGCTTTTTGTCTTTCGCTATTAAGTAAGAAACCTCAAAAGAGGCTTCTAAACATTTATCATTAAGTTTAGTGAAATTCTGTAGAGTACTGGATTGAGTATCACATGACTTTAAACATCGCTGAAAAATTTGTAGAGATTTGTCTTCATGTTGTGGATGCTTAGTTTTTAAATGTCTTGCTAATTGTGATGGCTTCATACTATCATTAGCTAATATCTCAAGACACTTAGGGCAAGGTTCATCATTAACGATAGTGGATATAAATCCATATTTCAAATAGTCTTGATAATTTCAAATTTTTTTGGTCGAATTCTTGTCAGATCTGATTAGATCGTCATTGTTTTTACCTCGTAATGTGGATGACGAAGAGCTTGTACTAGGAGTAGGAGAAGTGCCAGCTCTGCCATTTTCTTGTTCGCTTGTGCTCGCATTATTAGTATTATCTTCAATCCGTGGTTTCTTTGCAGGAATCTTTTTAAGCCACTTGTCCATTTTTTGAGGGTTAGTTTAGTTAAAACTAGATAATATAATCCATAAATCCACTTAACCGGGCACATGTAAACTGCAATATGTCGCAATATGCTGAAAGCGAACGAACAAGTGAAGGCGCCACTGTCAATCCTTCCGCATTGTGGAACTCCCACTCTTCCCTTAGGATACCTTGCCTACTGTACGTGACACGTGACTGTCTGACATACGGACCGAGTGAGGGCACCAGTGTCAATCTGTATATTGAATATTGGTAAAGCTTAATTTCTTTCTTAGTGTTTTAGATAAAAATAAATAGAAATTCTAATATTTTCTTCCCTCACCCCAATAGATCGTCTTGCACAGCCCCTGGGGTGTGCGCACCACACTTTGGAGACCACTGTCCTAGCCTAGTGAAAGTGAATGAGGGTTGTGTGTGTGGGGAGGGCCCATTTTCTGCTCTGCCTGGAGGCCCTGAATTGCTGTTAGTGAGCCTTAGGGTCTACACCCTAACTCGAAATAAGATATGCAATTTGAGCTACACAAATTGTGTATCTTATTTCGATGCTATTTCAAAATAGCTTATTTTGTCATTTGACACTGTCTATACAGCACCAAATTCCGAAATAAAGCACTATTCTGAAATGTCCCTTACTCCTTGTAAAATGAAGTTTACAGGGACGTCGGAATAGCGAGCCCGAAATAATGGGCTTGTTGTGAAGATGCGGGATAGCTATTTTTTAACAGCAGTTGTGAACCGTGGTAGCCTGAGTCTGTTGACTTCTGTGGGCTGTAGAGATGTCTAATATAGAAAATGAGACCAGAACTTTGGACATGTATTATTACAAAATAAAAGCTTATGGTTCTCCTGTTTTTGACTAGCTTTTGGCCATAGATAATGTTCATATTCCGAAATTTAAACATTCATACATTTATCAGTTCAGTAACTTTTATTTTCACCTTCCTTTAGAAATGGCAACCAAAGTCCCATAGGCCCAGGGAAATATGGATATGGAAAAGTGCCCTATATACTACCGCTGCAAACTGACACTGGGCAACTGCCTCAGAAAATACGGAGGCAGCGACAGTCAATGAGGAACCAAGCACGTGAGCAGAATCGGGGTCTTGAGAACACGCACAATCATCCCTCTAACCCTTTCGTTCAACATGGGAACCTTTACCAAGAAGAGCATGGACCTCAGGTGATGGGGCCTTCAATTTATCAGCAGGCTTCGACCCATTCAGAGGCCTTTCCTGCATCTCAAAGTTTGTTCCATGGGACTGACTCAACCCACCAGGGCTCTGCATCCCACCCGCCATTTCAAAGTCAACCCCACCCTCAAAGAGCTGGAGCTATTGTGTGCATTGGTGCCTACAGACAGTACAAATTGTGCAACACAAATGTAAGTCCATTTTTTTTCTCTCTTAATTTTAAAGCCAGCTCCCTTGTCTTGCTGGATTTCTATTCTTGCTGTGGCTCAAAATCAAAAGATATATTGATCTTATTAATTTGAAAAAAAATCCTGCTTTTCTGTTAGTCATGGAATAAAAAAATCACACTGTCTGGTGATTTAAGAGTATGTATGGCTCCTGTTAGATGGGGAAACGAAGGCACTAATTTTTCTTTACAGACAGTAGAAGGCAGAGAATAGGATGGGATTAGTAATCAGATTTTTCAACTTCCAGTCCTGTACTCCAACCAAAAGACAATATGGCCTTTTTGTGGCAGGCATTCCTTTTTGCCGCATTTGGGAATTCATATAAACTAAGGTTTTATGATTTTTGGTGCCTATGGCTTTTTGGAGTAAAAATCTATTATTACACTTTAAAATACTTTCTTTAAAGCTGTCTGAAAGTGTTTGGTTTTGGTGCTTCTCTGTTTTCTGGGATGACCTCCCAGTGAGTTGTTTGAGAACTTTCAGGGTCCACTAGTCTGCTCCACAAACAATTTTCAACATTGAGAGAGCTGTAATATTTGGCTGGTTTTCTTGAAAATTTCTTAAAACGTCTTTCTTCAGTGTTTGCCTTGGCTGGGTTTTATCAATGTATAACCTAGAACAAGAGGCCTTCTCCTTTGCAGTCTCTGGTGAATTAATATTGTTGATTTCAAGAGCCATACTATTGGATTATTAATATTGGTGTTTTTTCTAAAGTATTACTGCTGTTGTACAGTTGTACAATGGGGTAACAGAGACAGGAAAGACTCAGTTTCAGCGATGCCTGCCAGCAGAGAAAGATGTGTGGTTTACTACTTCTCTTTGGGAAATATGGAGTTCATCTTAGGTTAGTTTACCTACTTTGTGATTTTACCACTACAACCTTATCTCAGTAGTTCAGTACCTCTGTTATGTGCTTTAGGTACACAGCCCTTTCAAAACCCTAGCTACACTGGTGTATAAATTACAGTTTCTGTGATCAGAAATTCTGCTTCTTAATCCTTTCTGGTTGTGTTTTTTGTTGTTGTCAGTCTTTGCTTTCTCAGCCCCAAATCCTGCTTTAGTCTTCATTCATTGCATTCTTCCCTTTATTTAGGCCACTCAGCCACATCTGGGCAGGAAGACACACCATCATCCTTATGACTCCATAAAGCATAGCAGAGGCTTTTACAAGAATGGTCTCTTTGTATGCTTTCTCAGTGGAAACTTCTGTTTAGTCAACATTACACCTAATGCACCCTCCCAAATCTCAGAATGTCCCTTGTATAGGATTGTTATGTGGTTTACACACACCCTAAGTTTGTCATTTTTGTAAATGTATTAGATACTTAAGGATTATTCTGTATGTACATAGCCCTGCTAGACATACACAACATAAGACCAGCCCAGAGGTCCTTAGAAGCTAAACCAGGTTGACAAATGTGAATACTGTGGGTAATAGTTCAGGTAAGAAGACAGGAGCTGATGTCACTGAGATGAACAGTGTTGGAAAGTTCTAGTAAAGAAGTAAGGTGTAATGAGGGATCTGGAAGTGGAATTTGCATGATGGATATGAGACAGGCTATTCCAAATATGGAAGAAGATGGTGAAGGACAAAATCGGGAGGGAGGACTGAAAAGAGACTTCTGTTTGTATTATTGGTAATGCCCACCATATGCAAGGGGCTTTCCAAACTCAAAAGAATACCAGTTTTTTGCTCAAAGGGGTTACTAGAGTTGGATAGAGTAAGGGAAAATCAGAGCGGAAGTTGGGTGGGTGCGAAAATATCTATAGCAAATCTTTGAAAACACGTGCAAAGATCTGGATCTTAATATAATTCAAGACTAGAGATTTAGTTTAATCAATTAATCAAGTAGTTGATGGATTTCCCGTCGACTAGTTAATTTAAGTGTGGGAGCCGCAGCGAGGTTAGCTCCCAGCCTGGGAGCTAACCCCGCTGCGGCTCCGTCTTTTAAATGTATTAAGAGCCAACATTTAAAAGGCTAAAGTACACCAGAAGGGACTAAATACATGCTGATAGAAGCAGCAGTGGATGGGGGGAGCGACTAGTCGATATAATTATTGGATAATCAACTAGTCACTTACATCCCTATTCAAGACAGTAAAATTATGACATACAGTAACAATGGTGGATGATATGGAATGAGAGGAAGATGGTTATAGTAGAAATATTTCACACAGAATTGAGGCTGGGCGTTGATGGAGTTAGAAAGAAGAAGGTGAAAGTATCTAAGGGTACATCTACACTAGCCCCCTAGTTCGAACTAGGGAGGCTAATGAGGGCGACCGAAATTGCTAATGAAGCACGGGATTTAAATATTCCGAGCTTGATTAGCATATTCCCGGCCGGTCACCATTTTGGAAACTGAATAGCCCGAAGTAACTGCCCACGTCTACACGCGGCAGAGAAGCGGGATTCAGAGATAAACCCCTTAGTTCGAATTAACTGTTACTCCTCGTGGAATGAGGTTTAACAGTTAATTCAAACAAAGGGGTTTATCTCGGAATCCTGCTTCTCTGCCGCGTGTAGACTCGGGCAGTTACATTGGGCTAGTCAGTTTCCAAAATGGCGACCAGCCGGGAATATGCTAATCAAACGCGGGATATTTAAATGCCGTGCTTTATTAGCAATTTCGATCGCCCTCATTAGCCTCCCTAGTTCGAACTAGGAGGCTAGTGTAGACGTACCCTAAGAGAACAGCTCAAGGCATAGATGGACCCAACGTTGATTACGGAGAAAGATCATTATAGTGGAAACTTGGCAAGAGGTGGCACCCCAGGAATGGGGCGAAGAGAAAGTTGTAACTGTGAGTTTGGAAGATGGGGAGGATTATGAAGATGTCAGCACTGATGGAGAAGGAAGAGAGAATTTACCTTTTGTGAAGTTTGGGATGGTGGCAGGACATATAGTTCACTGTAACATCTTAAATATGTTTTAGTGTTTATGGGGGACCTAGGGTGGAAATACAGTCACATGAAATAATTTTAAATTTTGGAGTTGTATTTAAGGATAGGACAGCAACAGGCTACTAGGGTGAAAATACATTCACATGAAATAATTTTAAATTTTGGAGTTGTATTTAAGGATAGGACAGCAACAGGCTACAAAAATGGATGAGCATATCCCCATCATTTCTCTGCACCTATAGATATAACCAAATTCTAAGGAAATGGGTGTGCCTATTCAATGATCTTTTAAACAAGAGACAGAGTTCAGGTGATGCAGCTGGAATATTAACTCCTTGCAGGTACATCGACTTGCATCATGGTGGTGTTCAGATGACATAACTTCCACTTGATTCGTGGGAATGTCAGTTGCCATTCAGGGATCAGTTTTTCCCTAGGATGTGGTATTTAATAGTTATAAAATATATTTAAGTAGGAACACTCATAAGAGTCAAGGCCCAGTGCAAGGCCCAAGCAAAGCTGATAGTCCTTATTTACTTGTTCTTCCTATCTCTACACTTTTATACATGCACTTTAATCTAATTTATCATCAGTTACCTGCTTCAGAGCTGCTGCTGGCATGTAGAGAACAGTAGCTTCTTTTTTCCTTTTTCTTTTTTCTTTTTCTTTTTCCTTGTATGTTCCAAGAAGTAAATATAATTTATCAATGGGAAAAGGTTCTATTAACTGGTACTCTGGTGTTTGATTTCTCCTAAGGGTAGTTAATTACTTACAAAAGAACTCAATCTGCCTTGGTCTGTTAGATCATTTCCTCATGATTGTACATTTAATGTGCTTTCATTTATAGTTGCACTCAGTTTACATGACTGACTGCTTGGATCATAAGTTAAGCTTATAAATTTTGGTTAGTGAGAGACTGGGAAGAGCTTTTATTTGTTCAAGTGTTTTTGCAGGTAACTAAATTCAATTTCTCATTGTACACATAGCTTTATCTCTTCAGTATTTGCAAGCATGCTTTGCACGTGCTTTCCTCAGAATATGCAGCTTTGCACTTCAGGAATATGGAAACATGCAGGAAACATCCGTCCCTTTCCTTGCCAGGCTCATGTCCATATGCACACAGTATTGGCCAAAGCAACACACAACTAGTGAGATCATCTGAATGAGTTAGCATTCATGCCTGCCAGATTGGGTGCTTGAGGAGTGAGCACCGCTTTTGGAAGTGGAATTGTATGAAATTGTGGGAGCGGTGGAGTTTGAATGCTTGTTCACCACTAGAGCGTAGTGAATGACTGACATTCAAAAAGGATCCACAGATTCTCTTAACCGTTTCTCATTTTCTTTATGAATGTGTGGTCTGCAAAAGAAAATATGTACAGGCAGTCCCCGACTTACGTGGATCCGACTTATGTCGGATCCGCACTTACGAACGGGGCTTTTCTCGCCCCGGAGCTCACGGGCGGTGGGTCGCCACCCGTGTCCTCCGGGGCGAGAAAAGCTTCTCTTGGTCTCCCTGGTCTGCTGGGGGGGTCCAGCAGCTTTGCTGGACCCCCCCAGCAGACCAGGGAGACCAAGAGAAGCTTTTCTCGCCCCGGAGGACACGGGTGGCGACCCACCGCCCGTGAGCTCCGGGGCGAGAAAAGCCCCGTTCGTAAGTGCGGATCCGACATAAGTCGGATCCACGTAAGTCGGGGACTGCCTGTACATATTTTCTTTTGCAGACCACACATTCATAAAGAAAATGAGAAACGGTTAAGAGAATCTGTGGATCCTTTTTGAATGTCAGTCATTCACTACGCTCTAGTGGTGAACAAGCATTCAAACTCCACCGCTCCCACAATTTCATACAATTCCACTTCCAAAAGCGGTGCTCACTCCTCAAGCACCCAATCTGGCAGGCATGAATGCTAACTCATTCAGATGATCTCACTAGTTGTGTGTTGCTTTGGCCAATACTGTGTGCATATGGACATGAGCCTGGCAAGGAAAGGGACGGATGTTTCCTGCATGTTTCCATATTCCTGAAGTGCAAAGCTGCATATTCTGAGGAAAGCACGTGC